ATTGACAAACACAATAAAATCACATACATTATAGACATAGCCATTCCAAACACTCACAATATGCAAAACACATGCACTCAAAAAATTAGCAAGTACACAGAACTTGCCCAGGAAATAAGGCATCTGTGGAGAATGGATAGGGAAGTTATTGTACCTGTTGTTCTCTCCTGTACAGGTGTGATACTACACACACTACACAAAAGCCTGGGAACATTAGAATTGAGTAGAAATACATACATAACATTACAGAAGGCCACTATATTGAATACATGCCACATTGTTAGGAAATTCCTGAATACAGACACTGACACATTTATTTAATTTTAGTTTTGTTTTGGTTGCTATGCCTTGACTCTGGTCCGGCATAGTGCACAGCCACCGGTGTGAACCGAGTAAAACCCACTAAACATAACACATAATAATAATTTCTACAAAAAACAAGAAACATCACAGTTACATAAAGCAGTAACTCTAGCAGACTCAAATAACATACCATTAAACTTACATTCACATCACATGGACACAACTTATAAAAAGCATATACACCATTAAGCAATCGTGAGCTTGAAAGGCACTCCATAGCAGGCATCCTTATGACCTGCCCCAAGATTTTGTTGACAAAACTGTGTCAAACAGCTGGTTAGTTTGGGGAGGCCTCTTTGGGGAGATGGAAGGATTCTTGATTGCCATACAGGATGGATCATAAAGATCTCCCACATTTTGAATGAATATAAAAAAAACCACAACTATCTAGAAAAAAAGTGATTATATTTCTGTATAATCACTTTTTTTCTAAGTGTTTTTTTCTAAAAAAGTGATTATACAGAAATATAATCACTTTTTTTCTACATACAAAAATACATAAAAAACAGTTTGGTCTTAATGGGTTTTAAAAATTATATCAGACAAATAGCAACTGTCGTTGGCAATACATTGATAGCATCATTCCCAGAAGTTCTCCATGACTCTCCGTGTCATCTCAGGTTGTATTGCATCAATTTCCTCTCGGATCCTTTCCTTCAAACCCTCAAGAGTTTGAGGATGATGTCAGAAAACCTTTTCCTTTAGATATCCCCAAAGGAAAAGGTCACAAGAGTTTAAATCTGGTGACCTTGCCGGCCACTCCAAAGTCTCTCCTTAAATAGATCAAATGCCAAGGAAACATTTTCCTCAATACTCCGAGTGAATGCCATGCTATGTGAGCTGTGGCTCCATCCTGCTGAAACCATGTATGTTCTGTATCAAAGTCATCCAGTTTAGGGTGAGGAAACTTCTCCAACATTTCAATTTACTGACCAGAGGTAACAGTTACTGACTGTTTCATCACCTTCTTCAAAAATGTATGGACCAATGACACCAAAGTTGACAAAATGAAAATGGCAGAGCCTAGCCTACTGAATGAAACCTGTCCCACCCCTCTATTGTCCATATGATGTCCACTCCAAATGTGGGAGATCTTTATGCTCCACCCTGTATTTTGTCTTCTATTTCAAATATGTTATGTGACAATGGCATTAAATAGGTTGAAAATGTTTGTTATTTAGTTATTTTTCTTTTTTTTTTTTGTGAAGTTTAAAAGACTAATTTCGTATTTTGTAGTTTTCAAATTAATCTCAGTTAAAAATTGTGCAAAGTTATATTACTACTAAATATTGTCTAACTTCAAATTTCTCATTGAAAAACATATGTAAATATTAAGAATGCATTTTTATATGAAGATGAAAGATAAACCAGCTATTATTATTACTCATCTGAATTAATCAATGCACATTTAGCAGTGAGTGAAGTTTTAAAAAATACTAACATTTAATTCCATTTTCAACTGTCCATGCTTAAAGATGGGCCCTTAACTGGGTCTTGGTTCTTTAAACATCATCTACCATTAAAGGTTCATTGATTAATTTAGCTGTATTTTTCTATATATATAATATACACAAATGCATAAAGAAGAAACTGTACTGTCTTTCGGCATTAAATCTAATGCTGAAAGACAGTACAATTTCTTCCTTATACTATATTTGGTGTCGTATGTAAGTATACAAACTTTTATAATACAAATGAATTTTTTATTAAATTTTATGATTAAACTAATAATGAAACATTAATAATTAATCATTACAGAATTTTATTTTCACTTACCTTAAATAACTGTACTCCAATTACAGCAAACATAAAATTTAATAAGCAAGTAACTAACATAATATTTCCTATTGTTTTCACAGCTACAATGACACATTGTACAACATGCTATATATATATATAAAAAAATAATAATCATAATGTTATAAAAGAATAAATATCTCATAAAAATTCAATTGTAATTTAAACATAATAAATTTGTTATTATAAAATATCCATTTTATTTAATAAACTCCCAAAGCTTAATACATTGATATTCAATCAAACAATTGCTGTAATAAATCAGGCTATAAATTTGCTATTATTAATAATTAGACATTAAGTAATTTGATATTAGAGGTAGAGTTGGGTGCCATCTCTTATCTAAATTAATAATTATAATTTTTTAATAATTTATTAAATTATTTAGACCATCTGGAAGAAAAGAACTGCAAGCACACCACACAGTAAGCAGAAGTTGTGGGTTTAAGTTCCGCTCCAAGTTAGTTCTTTATTTATAGCCCAATTTATTATGGCGATTATTTGATTGAATATTTATTTAATAACGTTGAAATAAATTACTGAATAAAGACTTTATTCAATAATTAATTTTAATGTTAGAAAATAAGATCAAATATTCTAAAACTTGTGTATATTTATAGCCTGAATATAATTTAATTACAGAAATGTATAGAATTTAACACAGAATACTAATGACAATTTTATCTGTCTTATTTTTGAATAATTATTATCAAATATATTATAATTTAAAAGTTTCAGTGAAATTATATCAATAAATGTTATTAATACTGAAAATTATTTTTGCCTTTAAATTTTTATATATTTATGTTATAACCACTATGTAGTATATTTAAAAACACAACTGCACTACATCCTTTATTCAACAATGTAGTCAAATATAAGAATGTTTTACATTCAAATGTTTTTATATATACATTACATAATGGTTATAAAAGAAATAAATAATACAAAGTGTGATTTCGAAACAAACAGAATCTTAGTATATTTGAGGAAGTATTTTTATATTAAAGACTATAAATGGAATTATGGGAGAAAAAATAAAAAATTTTATAATTTAAAAGTAAAATTTTTATATATCCTTATATTATTGATAACTTACCTTGAGACCTTTGGCACGGTTTATGGCTCGGAGAGGACGTAGCACCCTTAAAACACGGAGGATTTTCACAACGGACATTGCTTCACTTCTGTTTTATTAAGAGAAAAATAATTCTTTAAGAACTTATTTTTTTTCACATTTTAATGTTTATACAATATTAAATTACTAAAAAATCTTAGAAAATTGCAATCACTCCTTTATTGTATCAAACAATAAACACAATAAAATAATTTATTCATTAAAATTTAAGAAGGAAAAAGGTTTATTCACTGAAGTAACTAATGATTTCATCAATTTATCACAAACAAACTTAAAAAAAAACTATACAGATCTCCTAATGGACTCTTATAAAGTGTTAAATAACAAACAAAATGAAAAAACAAATTATTATATGCTTAAATTTATAAAATTGTAAAGTCTTAAGATGTAGCAATGAGGCACTTACTTAAGACCAAAGGATAAAAGTGAAACTCCAACCACAACAACATCTAATATGTTAAATGCACTTCTAAGAAAGGAACCTTTGTGTAAAATAAGACCATAAGTAACAAGCTGAAAGAAAAGAAAATTNGTTATGCTACCCAGACCTCCAGTCTGATTTCATCTTCCAGTATATATAACATTACGCTATAATCATTGTCAGTTACTACAGGTTTTAGTGGAATTTGTTTGTTTATGATATATAAATTATAAATGTCAAAGTTTACTATAATTATTCTGTAATCCATTAAAAACTGTTTGAAAGTTCTGTTTAATGGCTGTATTCAACAACAATGTTTTGTATCAGAAATTTCATAATTGAGATTTTGAGCTGTTAACTGTAGATTAGAGTTACTTTACATTTCACATTTATAAACAAAATTTAACACTGGATTATGAAATCCTCAAATTGAAGTGAAGAGCTTTGTTGCAAGTTCTTTGATTTGTCTGAACGCATCAAGATGTGCTGCATGAATTTCCATGCACAAACTAAGCATATGATTTTAAAGTTAAGTAGGCAATGGATTTTAATGAAATAGAAATAATAATAGAATTAGTTGCAAAATGTAAAAACATATTGAAAGTAAAAACATGTAGTAACAAATATAGAGTCAAAATATCACAGGTTATTCTGGAATTATGTTGTGAAATAGTAAACAATTATTACTTTGGTACAAAAACAATGGCTGTATTCACCAGCAATGATTCATATCAAAAGTTTCATAAGCAAACTAAAGCAAATAAAGATTGAATGGAAGAAAGGGAGAAAATTTTAAAAATTGGAAGTTCTGTGACAATGTAATTGTTTACAATATATCTACTTATTTTAAACTTCTTTTGAGACTTAAAATTGTCATAAAAATGGAATAAGTCCATGTTGTTTTATGACAGATTCAAATAGCAGATATATTAATTGAGTCATAGTTCAGATTTAAGAGTTAAATCTAGAATTTATTCATGGTGAATGCCAAGTTAAATGAACTCACAATTTAAATAATACTCTAGCTTTAATTTACAGTGGCTTTAATTTACATTGTATCTTTTATAGCCATAAAAGATACAATGAGAAACTTGTTAGGCAGTTTGGAGAATAATTAATTCAGAACTTCTCAGTGCAGATAGCAATATGAAGTATAATATACTCTACATCTGATAAATTTTTGTGCTAAAAAATTTAAAGTGATTATTAGAATTGCCATCTTTAGAAACATTTTTGTGTTATATTTATATTTGTTTTTTGAAACGTTGTCCTGTTTTATATTTGTGGTGTAGTAAACACTAGTATTGTGTTTTATTCCAAAGACACATGGCAAATTTTCCATCAAATTCCTTTATTAGTTGAGTCGACTCAACTAATAAAGGAATTTGATGGAAAATTTGCCATGTGTCTTTGGAATAAAACACAATACTAGTGTTTACTACACCACAAATATAAAACAGGACAACGTTTCAAAAAACAAATATAAATATAACACAAAAATGTTTCTAAAGATGGCAATTCTAATAATCACTTTAAATTTTTTAGCACAAAAATTTATCAGATGTAGAGTATATTATACTTCATATTGCTATCTGCACTGAGAAGTTCTGAATTAATTATTCTCCAAACTGCCTAACAAGTTTCTCATTGTATCTTTTATGGCTATAAAAGATACAATGTAAATTAAAGCCACTGTAAATTAAAGCTAGAGTATTATTTAAATTGTGAGTTCATTTAACTTGGCATTCACCATGAATAAATTCTAGATTTAACTCTTAAATCTGAACTATGACTCAATTAATATATCTGCTATTTGAATCTGTCATAAAACAACATGGACTTATTCCATTTTTATGACAATTTTAAGTCTCAAAAGAAGTTTAAAATAAGTAGATATATTGTAAACAATTACATTGTCACAGAACTTCCAATTTTTAAAATTTTCTCCCTTTCTTCCATTCAATCTTTATTTGCTTTAGTTTGCTTATGAAACTTTTGATATGAATCATTGCTGGTGAATACAGCCATTGTTTTTGTACCAAAGTAATAATTGTTTACTATTTCACAACATAATTCCAGAATAACCTGTGATATTTTGACTCTATATTTGTTACTACATGTTTTTACTTTCAATATGTTTTTACATTTTGCAACTAATTCTATTATTATTTCTATTTCATTAAAATCCATTGCCTACTTAACTTTAAAATCATATGCTTAGTTTGTGCATGGAAATTCATGCAGCACATCTTGATGCGTTCAGACAAATCAAAGAACTTGCAACAAAGCTCTTCACTTCAATTTGAGGATTTCATAATCCAGTGTTAAATTTTGTTTATAAATGTGAAATGTAAAGTAACTCTAATCTACAGTTAACAGCTCAAAATCTCAATTATGAAATTTCTGATACAAAACATTGTTGTTGAATACAGCCATTAAACAGAACTTTCAAACAGTTTTTAATGGATTACAGAATAATTATAGTAAACTTTGACATTTATAATTTATATATCATAAACAAACAAATTCCACTAAAACCTGTAGTAACTGACAATGATTATAGCGTAATGTTATATATACTGGAAGATGAAATCAGACTGGAGGTCTGGGTAGCATAACTGGCAATACATCTGCACGGTAAGTGGCAGCTGTGGGTTAGAGTCCCATTTCGGGCCAATTCTTTTCTTCCGGTATTCTAAATTATTTAATCAAAATTATAATTATTAAATTTATTAAGAGATGGTGCCTAACATCTTTCTCTAGTATCAAATTATTTTGTAATTTATTTGCATTATAGCCATTATTTAGCCTGAGGACATACAGCATTGGTTGACTTTTATTATTATATATCATCAATTTATTATTTTTGCTTAAAACAGGAAAAACTATTTCTAGAATTAAATCTTATTTTTAAAATATTTAAAACTTTCTACTTACTTTTAATGTAATTTCTATTGTAAAAATGGATGTAAAAATATAGTCGAAATAATTTAAAATCTGTAAACAAATCAATAATTTACAAATTAATAAAATATAAAAATTTCATTTATAAATCCACACTCATACTCCATCTGCATATGCATACTTAAAGTTAAACATACTCATATATTAAAGACATTTCATTCATACCAGTTTCTTCAGTAATATTAAAAAACTTTTTACTGTATGTAAAATATCTTACAAAGAAACAAATTCAGTGTAAAGATAGAAATACAAATCAAAATTTTATCAATATATGTAATGCCATACCTTATTTCTTTCTGACTCTGACTGCAATGGATCTTCAGCAGCTAACATACTACTACTAATAAGGATACAAACTAAAATAATATTTCCAAACAGACTGTGTTTAATAACATCAAAACAAAAGATCCGAATCCTGTAATAAAAATAAATAACAAAATTTAATATATTTTTACTAGAAGATTTATTTATTTTTAACAATTATATAAGGTTACATAATGCATATAAAACTAACTATATATATATATTATATACACAGTACAACTATATACTGAAGTCTATTTTTAATTTTAATTCATTTAGGTCACAGCTGCCCCCTGCAACACTGAACTATCTAAGATGTTTGTGCAGCACCATCACATCCCACTTTGGGACTGTGTGGTGATGGCTCAGGTGCTGTGAGGAACAGAATTTGGCGTACATTTGGGAGGCCCTCTTCACCACTCTGCTGTCTCCTTGCAACTCTCCCACCCTTGAGTTTCCCAAGATTTGGTTCAGTCTATACAAACAACTAAAACACCCACATTAGCTCCATTTCTATACCCCTACTTTCTCTGCACAGTAAAGTGCATGAGAACGATATTTTTTATTTTTAAACCTTTTGTTAAAAACGGCTAAGTGTCATTCCTATTTCCTGTGCTGTAAGATGCATGTGCAATGATGGAATATTAATTTAAATTTGCATAACAAGTTTTGTGTTATGTTCTTAATGGCTAATGCTGTTCTTGTTCTCTATGCAGTACGGCACATGTGCAACACTGTTATGTATATTTTAAATCTAATTCTTTATTTTTAAACTTGTTATGTTCTAAGTGGCTAATACTGTTTTTGTTTCAATTTAAAAATTTGTTTGAAATTCCGAAATTTTATTTCATTCCAGTTCTGCCTGAAGATGATGTTTATAAATACGTCGAAAGTGCTTGCAGGATATTATAACGTTTTTTTTTTAAATGTTCTTTAATGCCTTTTTATGTGAATTTTTCTCTTAAATCAGTGTACCTCAGTTTTGTGATCAAAGATCTGTAAATATTATTATATATACTTGTATATCATTTATTAATATTGATATATGATTTCTACTCAAGCACAGTCAAGAAACAAACAATGCAAAAGTTTAAAATAAGCTTCAGAGTACATCAGTCCCATGTAATATCGAAAGAAACACAAATTATTCTTTACTTCACAACTGAGTGCATAAGTAGACACTGGGCATCTTTAACATTACTCATTCCTGAATAAAGCATGACGTTAAAGATGCCCAGTGTCTACCTATGCACCCAGTTGTGAAGTAAAGAATAATTAAAAGACGAAAAGGTTTTGGAGTAAGTCAATAAGAAACACAAATTCTAAAATGATTCTAGAAGTCCAAGCTTTTTATTTGGTTAATCTTTTTTGAAACTTTTCTGTTCCATTGTCAAACTCAAAAACATTTTTTAAATTTAAGAAATTGTCCATGCTATCAAATTTCTTGAATGCTGAACAGAAATATACAGATGTTCTCATTCAAATTTATGTTTCAAGCTTTTTTGGATCTGATGATGGAATAAAGAATTCCCAAGAAAACCAAATGAAAAGTTTTTTAGTTCTAAATAGGGCAATCAATGTGTGTCGTAATAAATGTATAAATGTTTGTTATACTACATACCTATTTGTATTTGAAAATATAAAAAAGGAAGATTCTTTTGGCATAGGAGGAGTTTCATTGGGTAAATTCACTTCTGACATGCGTCTAGGCACTACAGTAGGCTGGGTAATTGTTTTTCCCTCTTCTTCACATTCAACTTCTGCAGGTTGATCTTCCTCTACATCTTTTATTAAAAAATTATTACATTTATAAACATGTAATAACTTAATTTTATTAATTTATATAGTTTTTCAAAGTGCATGCTGTTATTTTACTAATTAACTTAGATTATTTATCTTTCTCAACTATTTATTTGAATAGTTCAATTGGAACAATTCTCACATATCAAATAATTTTTAATTTTTGGAATAATTGTTTAATATTTATAGAATAGAGTAAGTAAAATTAAGCAATATTGAGTAATACAGTAGAGCGTCGTTTATCCGAATCAATTGGGGACTGGGGTGGTTCAGATAACTTATTTTTCGGATAACGAATCATGTACGAAAAAATATATTAATTTATCCCATGTTGAAATTTCTCTCCGTTGCGTGTCGCTTTGCGTTGAATTTTTGTCGATGTTAAGCCTAACAAAGACTATTGTATCGTTAAAAATTATTTTTTTATTTTGTACAAACAAAATAAATTTATTGAAAAATATAAAAACAATAAAAAATTATACTTCAGATGTTAATTTAGTATCAAAAACGTAAAATATTTCAGTAGCCCAAGAAATAGCCGAAGATTGCAGCACCACAGCACTAGCAAAAATTTAAATTTGCTGACTAGAATGCTTTCGGATAACAGACGTTTCGAATAACCAGCTTTTGGATAAACGATGCTCTACTGTATATAAAACAAATATTCAAAATTATTCAATAATCCAATGTTTTACTATCATTTAAATGATTTTAGAAGAAATATTTGTTAATTAAATTTCTGACTTTAAATTACAAATGTTATATCTATATTTAGCCTTTCGAATCTCTCAGAATAATTTTTTCAATAATATTTTGCAATTATCTTTTCATAATATTAGAGAAAATAGAGATATATTTAACTAAAAGTTGTTCCCCACCCCTTTTTTCCTATCCATAACTCAATATTCTTACATTATTTATTAATTTTTATATCAGATAAGTACAGAACTTTTTTCGATAGTTTGTTTACAATTAAATATAGTCATTTGTCAAATTTCTTTATTCCTTATTTTCTCCTAAGTTCTATTCTATTTATATTCTAGTGCAGTAGACCTTTGATAACTTCAATTTAATAAAATTTCAAGATTTTATGTAGCTATTACTAAATGATAATCCATTAATGAATTATTTATGCCATCCATTAATTATGTGCACAGTTTTTTGGATATTTTTGACTAACTCCCTCTGTTGCATTGTGTACACTGATGTACAGTAATACCCCGAATTTACGTGATAGGTGGGACTGAGCAATAACCGCATAAGTTGAATTCGCGTAAGTTGGGATATAATTTCGCAATTTGTGTAAAATCCAAATTGGATGTATGTAAGCTAATAAATGTTCTCGTTAATCTTATCTCGTCTTTTGATTTGTTCACGGTTATAAGAAATCACCACATAGAGTCTCTCAAGGCTCTGTAGATATAACAAACACAGAAATAAATAACATAAAATAAATTGTAGCTATGTGTCGATTCCGTGCGACACGTCCGAATATGTATGTTGAACAATAGTGTGGGGGGAGTGAGTAATCAAGAGTTGTGTGGCACTCAAACAAAAGAGGAATCAATGAGATTTGAAAATCGCGTAACTCTGGGTTCGTGTAAGTCGGGGTAGCATAAGTCGAGGTATTACTGTACTACTTTCTTTGCCAAAAATACATCATTTTATGCAACCCTTTCCCATTTAATTATGTGTACAATAGTTCAGGGACTTCCTGATATTGAAGAAATGACTTTAAAAAATTCTGCAAATGTTTTCTAACAGATAGTTTATTCACATGACTATTAAATAGGCTTACGAGGTCTCATTCAAATATTACATCAGCAAAAATTTGCCTCTCCTTTTATATCTTGTTTCCTGTTGTTACCAGAAATCAAGGTATTCCTCCCTTAATTATATCACAAGGTCAGAAGTTAAGATCGTTTGCAAATACACAGGAATTACTTTCAGACAACTTTGTGATGACTAGGAGAAAAATAAACAATCTTATGTCATAAAAAACCTCACCCTGCCTTCTCCATTGTTAGAAACCTTCAGATACAAATTAATTCATAAAGTTCTGACATAATATTTGAATGATCCCTAAGAACAAATTTGTAAGTTGCTGATATTAGTAAAAATTTCTATGCAGATAATGTCTTGGCCCTTTCTCTTAAACTGTACATATAATTATTGAAGCATCCCTTACACTTCATTACTGAATAATATATATCTATTTAATTTTAAAACTAAAAATGGAACTGTAAAATTGCAACTTATTGTTACTATCACTTTATCAAAACACTCACTTTTCCAAGAAGCCAGGAAATATGTGTGTTTTCATAAGGTGATTAGTAGAACGTATGGAACTGTTATGTTCTCAGAATCATCTAATTAAAATAAAACAAACTCACCTTTTACAGTTTCTTCGACTCCTTCCTTTTCAGCTAAATCTATATCTATATGGACTTGAGACTACATTAATTGGAAATATTCTATTAAACTTTTCAGCTGTATTAACTATTATATGTTTATGAATAATAAAATAAATAAATAAACTTACCAGCCTATCTTTTGATCTGAAAATAAACACCAATAATTAAAACACTTTGCAAAATAAAGGTTTCCTCAATGTAATTAAACAGAATTACTGATAAATTTATAAGTATTTACTTTATCAATTAGATTTTTGATATTAAATATACATAACCGTCAATAACTTTTTAATAATTCATTTATAAATTAACTATTAATAATAACATTATTATTGAAATAAATTAATTTTTAATGAATATATTTTGAATTTCTCGAAGTATATTTCCATAAATAAAATATACAGGAATTTTTATAGATTTGTCTAAGATAATAAGTTTGAATAATAATGTTTCCTGTAATTTTTTGTGATCTAACTGCACAAAAATTTTCTGTTTTACAAGTGGAAATTTATGCATACCTTGTAGAATGCATGTAAATATAAAATTAAATATTTATACTGCATATTTAAGTTATCTTTGACATATATTATTCACTGTCTTGCATCAAAAATTAATTTTCAAAGAGTTTCTTTGACTAAATTTGTCCTATTTTTTCAATTATAATAAGAAGGATCCTCAACAATATTGACGTCTTATTCAGAGAATTCTGGGATAAAATATTAATATGCAGAGGGTGGACTTATATATTGGAGTAGGACTTAAATAGCCAAATTAATCTGCATCAAATAATTCAAACGTTTGAACTAAAGGGCAGTTAATATTTGAACTCTGCGCATTCCAATATTAGAACATTATCGAACCTGAAGCAGTTCTGGATAGATACGAAAATGTTTGTTCAAGCAAGTAAATATTATTATTTTTACTGGAAATAAAAGGTTTTGAAAGAGATAGTTATAAATTCCAGTACCTAATAGTGAATATAATATTAATAAAAAGATTATAATAATTTACACAGTGAGCAGAGTTGGTTTTACTCTATATATCTAATAATGGAACTTTATTTAAACTTAAAACTGAATTTATTTTTTCCATTTCTATTTATATTCTGTTTTGAAACTATATGCTAACAATCATTTAAAATTTGTACTATATTATAATTAAGAAAAATCAAATTATATTAATTTAATGATGCAAAAACTAATTTTTACTCACATATGATTCAATTGACTCATGTCAAACTTTTTTGTTTCATCGCTTTCGACTTCTTCCGCTTCTTGACGCTTAATTATTCCATCTTCTTCTTTACAAAGGGTATTCTCTTCTGGAACTGCAGTTCCTTCAACTCCTTCTTCTTTTCCTTCTTCCTATAAACAAAACTGAGATCACTCTTCATATCTTTTTAGCAATTTTTCTAAACAATCAACTTAACTTCTGATATTACTTCTTGTTTACAAATAATTCTTAAAACTTTTGAAATTTTATTATTCTATTATCGGAAAAAATTTCTACTACTACTTTCATGCTTTAAACTTATATTTTAAAATATTAATAGCCAAATCTAGATGTTATCATCATTTCATTTATTCTTTTTGTTTATAACATTCTCTTCTACAGTACACTGAATAAAATTAATTAATAATTTGTTCAAAACTTTCACAGTTATAAAAAATATTTAAACTTGTTATGTACAAAGTAGAGTAAAAAATGGACTAAACTTTTGTCACAGGTTTTATTACACAACACAACTTACAAAATGAGCTCCTACTACAAGCTACACATTTCTGTTAGCACTTACATAACTTATCAAAGCAGTTTGTAAAGCCATCATCTTTATAGGCCCTCATCATTACTGCTTTCACTTCTACTGCTAAACCTGCAGCATACATGGAATCTGAAATTCTTCAACTTTTCTTTCATTTCAGGGAATAGATAAGTTTACAGAGCAAGATTGAGTATAAAAAGGTTGCGAAAACATTGTATGGCCAGATATTCATTAACCAGAAAGCTAAATATAGAAGCTGATTTAGTTTGAAAGTTTAGGAACATAGCATTCACTTATAAAACTGTCTTACAATTGCTACTTGAACAGGGACTGGATCCAGGTGTCACCGAGACAATTAAGCTAGCAGTACGAGTAAAGGATGGCAGGCAATCAAAGGGCCAGTACTTAACATTAGCAAAGGTCAGTAGCAACAAAAGCTCTTAAAGACATTACAAAAAAACTGAACGTGTGTTATGAACAATGGTAGAAAGCTGCAGAAAGAGCTTACTTTGAAAATGGTGTTGTAAAAGCATTATTTAAAAAAACATCTGTGTCAAAAGTTTGATTCATTTTTTGCCTCTACTACTTTGTCTATTAATGTTGAGTATTTCTAAAGATGAGAGTTTTAACTCTCATCTTAACTATCATCTTAAAAACTCTTACATTTAAAGACTTAAAGAATAGCAAAGAGAAACAAATAATTTTAAAATACTTTTTGCTACAAGTAAAATATTAATTTAACAAATTTTTATATTTAAGTACATTTCAATATAATTTATTAAACAAAATTTAAGAAAAATAGAAACAACATTAGTTATGATAATCAATAAAATAAAAATAAATTTTACAATATTGTAGTATAAAGTATATTATTATTTATTATATTTATTTTTATCATTAGATTTAATTATTTTATATTAATTTCTACTCATTTATTTGTCAAAGAACTGAATTGGGTACCACTAAAATGAAAATTACAATATGCAATCTGTTCAGTCTTAAGAGTTTTAAGACTAACAAAGTCTTACTAACTTACTAAAAGTCTTACTAACAAAGTCTTACTAACTCAAACTTGTAAGTCGTGATTTTAGAAACAAGCAGAAACTATCATTTTATATTGGTAATTAAAAAACGAAAAGTTAGAAACTGGAATTTTTTTCTATTCCAGTGAACTATAGCCAACCACATTATTTACAATCTAGTCGAGGGACACACTTCACAATCAGGGAAAATAAGGTAAAAAACAGATTGAAATGTATTTATTGATTTATAAAAATTGGTGATATTATATTGATGTGTTAATAAACTTGCTCTTTTCAAAAATGATTCCACAATCAAATATTATAAATAGGCAAAACCACAGATGTCTGATCTGTTGGAATCAACGAGTAACATTATTGTTAAATGTTATATGACATCATTATGTACAATGCATTGTGTCGCGGTGATGTTTATAAATATTTTTCCTGTTACATAATAAAAGTTTGTTGGCACTGTTGACCTCTCGGGGAACCGTTGGTGACAGTGACCTTGTTTTACTCTCCCCTTTTCAGCGCCGACCTTCCATGAGTCACGACAGTGTAAACTTTGTGTATTCTTTGTTTCTTTGTTCCATTGTGGTATTATTGTGATTGAAGCAGTACGATTCATTCGTGGATCGTACTACAGAAAGGAAACTACGACAGTTACAATTATAAACACTTTCCTTTATTTAATAAGAACAGGTTCAGTTTCATCAGGAATCCCAACTATTTTGTGATTTAATTCTACAATGTGAGGGGTATCAACAGGAATCTTTCCCTTTTTACAATAAATCACGGTACGAAATCTTACCGGCGCGTAACAATTAATATTCTATAGTTGCGTAACTAAAATCTAACTTAACCCTAACTTAAGGCTAACTTAATACTAGGGAAATGACAAGGAAGATAGGACAGAGGGAAGGTAGAAGAAAAGAAGAGATAACTTCACCCGGGTCTTTCTTATGTTCTGGTGTCTTTGTGCTTTGGGTAGGACTGTCTCAACAACGGTGGCTCTTACTTCCACTATGTTCTTACACACGCTAGTCGTCGGATCTTTAATCCTGAAGATTTCAATCTATCTGGAGGTGTCCGCAAGCCTTCTGACCTGATCGTGGATCCTCCTCGGTCCGTCACTTGATTCTCCCAAGAACTTCCTTTGTTCTTCGCTACAGAGTCACGTTCAGGTGTCCCTTCGACATGTCTCGCACTCTCTGTGTCTCGTCGACGACTGCTTTTCTCCCTTTTACCCTTTATTGTTCTCCTCTTGTTCTCAGCACGACACATCCTACCCACTATTGTTCTTTCTGGTTCTAAGAACAGTTAATCTCACCCAAAGGCTATAACAGTCATTTGGAATGTTCTAGAAGGAACAGACAAAGGAAATAGAAAAAATAGGGAAAGAGAAAGATTGGAATTATACTATATACAATTAAGATGCATATGTATAAATGGCCGACGGCCACACCATAACCAGTTATGTGAGTCTAACTAGTTTTTACTAATCTCTGAAAAGCAACATCAAGTCTAACAGGTCATCCTACTATGAAATGTGTGTCTATAATTTAGGACAGTTCTGCACACATTGAGATGATCGACAACTCTATCAAATATCCATGAAGCTAGTAAATGGCACAATATATAGTGTTTTAAGTCATCGTATTGAAATTATGACAACATTTTAAGCATTAAAGACATCTAACTTTACTTTCTAAGCTTTTTAAATTAAGATATGTAACATAATTGTTCTTAAAAATTTTCTTAAAACAGAACTGTCATTCAAAAATTTAAAAATAAATAAAAAAAAACTCAATTATAGAATTTTAAGAAGAAAATTTAGTTTGTTGTTAAAATTGCAGTCAAATCAATAGAATGAATAATTAACAAAAAATATATTTTTGTTGAAACATGGCATAACCTAAAGCTCTAAACAATGAGCTTATACACAATGAGCTTATTAACATCAATAGAAAATGCTACATGATTAATGATGATGATAATATTAATTTAATAATATCCCCAAACAAACTGAAACCTTCACTTATTTGGAATCAGGAACTTTAAATTTGTTAAAGGATAAACTGCGAATGTACTATTGTGATAAACAATTACTATTGTTTACATTCACATTGTATAGTAGTGTCTGGTAATTTATTAGTATTATAGCCGTTATACAGCCCGATGGCATATGGCAATGGTTAGCTTTAGTAACTGTGAATGTATCATATTTAAAGCTTATATGAATTAATTCCAATTATTGTTGCATTCTTTAAAGAACTTGGAATTGTTTCTTATCCCTCATTTTATTCTCTTGTTGTGGTTGCCATCATCAATTCATTTTGATAAACTGTTAAATCTAACCTCTATTAATTTGCTAAACAGAACTAAATTAATCGATAGACTGACTGGTAGAGAAACCCTCATTATTCAAATTCTTATAATGTTGATTACTAAATTAATAATAATTATTTTGTTATCAAAATTTTAAAGAGTAACAACTTATTAAAATTTACTGTTCAGTTTATAAAGTTATTTAGAGTTGTTATTATTTTTTTATTTAATTCTGTTTTATATATAAACATTTAAGTATATTAAAATATTATGGAGTAGTTAAAATATGTTCAAAGGCATGCTAATTTTTCTACATTAAAATAAATAAATAGAAGAATTTTAAAAAAGATTTACTGTATTTATACTTTTTCGACTTCACCATCACCGTCACCGTCTGCATCGGCTAAATTATCCACAGCAATAGCCAAGAAGACATTGAGCAGAATATCTGACAATTAATTAAGGTTTAATATCATAAATTAACACAAATAATAATTATAAAAAGTTATAGATTAGTATTCAAATAAACTTAAATATACATAAATTAGAAACTGATTTTATATACAAATTAATTAAATTAAAATTAAACGCCATGCACAGTGTCAGTCATTACAGAACGTTACCAGAGATTCTAAATTAGAAATTTATAATCTTGCTAAAGTTCTATAATAATCAATGCTTGATGCAGGCTCCTGAAAAAGACCATTCTGCTGATTCAAAAAAAAGGTTTTAATGTGGGTTACTAAAAATTTGTAATGTTTACAATATTAATTAAAAATAGAACTTTCCTTAAAAGATTTTTCTAAAATATAGTACCTGTTTGATCAACTTATTTTCAACCGTAATATTTCACCAGCTAACTAATGGCTAATTGATGTATCAAAATAAAAATCAAAAATAAAAACATAATTGGCTTTCCTTTGGAATAATTCTTATACTGTGTTTTGAATTTAATTTTATAACAGTAAACAGTGAAGATGAATAGTTTTCATGATTAACTAGCTTATTTTAAAATGAAAATAATTGCTACAGTGTCAATTACTGATACAGTTACCCTATGTATAATTAATTTAAATATTTTGTTACATATGGAAAACATTTGAAGCAAAAGTTTGACATATTAACAGCACATTATAATATACTTTGTTTTTATTTATAATACAGTAAACATGCAGAATGGCACTCATAACAGTTCCTATGGCACCACTTACCATAACTTCTTTTATGTGTTTTTCGACTGCATAAAAAAACCATATGATACAATTACCATTGTATATTCAAAAATGAACTTCATCCACACTTCAATTTTGCCCTACCACATGTTTGAGTCTATTTGTTTTGTTTTGTTAAGTTATGACAACACAATACTTGGGCGATCTGCCTAGGAGGGAGGCCTTCCTGGAGTTATTTTAAAAGTAACTGGCCCCTATTCAGGCATTACAAATGTGGAGAGAATCCGGAAAACTCCACGTGGCCAGTCCATCCTGGCAAGGCACAAACCCATGACCAAACTCCCAGTGTTCAGGGAACAGAACCGCTTGGCCACTGGTGGGTCCATGTTGGACAACTTATATGCCAGTGTGGTGATACACCAGTTGTTTTTTTTTATATACTTATATTTTTGTATTAAGCCTAGGGTTAAGTTCTCTCGATCTTTTGTTTAACCCTTCCTCGTACTTCCTAACGGTTCTGTCCCCTGCTGGTGGTGAAACATTTCTATGAACTACACTGAAAAACAAGGGTGTGGAGGCAGGCCCCGAGGCGAGGAGAGAAAAGGAGGGAGACTTTCGAGCTAGCGTTGGGAGAGGACGGACAGGCGAGGAGATCCTGGTGGCCGTAACGAAGGAAAAAGGAGCGATAGGGGGACAAAGAGAGGAGACATCACAGGAAGGACGGAAGATCATCAGAGTGCATTTTCATCGANGTATTAATCCATATATCTTAAGATTATATTTTACTAGAATAACTACAAAAGTTAATTGATGAATAAAATTTTCATTTTTATAAAATTAGTTTGAGAAAAGGTAAAATGTAAGTAGCTTTAAAAATTAATATAAATTATTTATTTTAATCATATATATTCATTTTCCAACAATCAACATTCCCAACCAGTTCCATGAACCCATTCTAAGTGTGTCGCAAGATGAATAAAAAAAATTAAACTGACTTTCTGTGTGTTATCGACTATATTTGAGAAGTTTGTTCTAGTAAACTATCAGAGAAAAAGTACTTGAAAGAGCTTTATGATTGACCTGTTGGCCAATCCAGTAATATTTAATAATAAAACATGCCACGACCTTCACATAATCATTTAAATATACCCGTAGGTCCAGATAGGCTGAAACCACCAATTTTAGAGTGATGTGCTTCTCAAAATGTTAAATCCATTTTTACATAACCTATGGCTTTTCCTTGCTCCATTCTCATATATGAGTTTAAACTTTGGCATCTGATAAAATCATTCAATGTCTCCTTTAATTTTTGGAACTATTAAAGTCTGATTATGTCTGATCTGGACTAAGGAGAATGCAGATAAGGAATAAGGTTCATAACAAAAAAAACACAAAAGATCTTTGAGAATCTAAAAGCACCTTATTCTACACCCTTCTTATAGTCCAGATCTAATATCTTCATACTACTACTTCTTCATGTGCCATGCCCAGTCCCCCAGACATCGGCAAACACCAAGGAGAGGGAGTTCCTATCTTCGGCCATTCTCATTGCCTCCTCAATGCTTTGTATGCCTGTCCATTTTTTAATATTGTCCATCCATGATAAATGTCTTTGGCCTCATTTACGCTTTCCCTCAATCTTTCCATTGAGAATTAGTTGTGGAATTTTGTATTTTTCTCCACTAGTGATATGTCCCAAGTATGCAATCTTTCTGTATTTGATCGTTGACAACAATTTTCTCTTTGTTCTTGCTCTGCTTAGAACTTCATTGTTGGTCACTCGATCCGTCCATGGGACTATCATCATCCTTCTGTGAATCCACATCTCAAATGCTTCCAGTCTTCTTTCTGTATTCCTTTTTAATGTCCAGCTTTCCACACCATAGAGGAGAACTGACCAAATATAACATCCGGCCATGCATTGCCGCAATTTCAGATTTAAATTGTCGTTGCAGAGCAGGGTTTCCATTTTTTGGAAGGATGTTCTAGCTGCTGCTATTCCACATTTAATTTCTTTCTCTGAATCTAGATTTTCTGTAATTATGCTTCCCAAGTATTTAAACTGTTTGACCTGTTCAATTTTTTATGGTCAAAAACAAGTTGTGCCTCACTGTGTGGGGTCTGACTAAAGATCATAAATTTAGTTTTGTTTGCATTTATTTTGAGACCAGCATAAATTCCTGCTGAGTTAATTTTGTTAATAGTATCTGTAAACTTTCTAGGCTGTCACATATGATTAGTGTATCATCAGCATATCTAATAACGTTAAGAATTACACCATTGATTTTAATCCCATAACTTGAGTTTTCTAAGGCATTTTTGAAGATTTTGTCTGAGTACAGATTAAACAATAGGGACAAAAGAATGCAGCCCTGCCAGCCTCTTCTTTGTATTTCAATTTCTGCTGTTTTCACTGTTCCTAACTTGACTTCTGCTGCTTGATCCCAGTATAAATTTTGGATTATTCTGATGTCCTTGCCATCTAATTGAACTTGGTGTAGAATTTCTACTAATTTGGAGTGTTTCATACTATCAAAAGCCTTTTCATAGTCTATGAAACAAGCAAATATGTCTTTTTGTTGTTCATGGCATTTCTGAAGAAGGACATTGATACTAAACAACACTTCTCTTGTTCCAAAAGCATTTCTGAATCCAAATTGAGTTTCCTCAAGGTTAATTTCACATTTTTTATATATCCTGGCATGTATAATACTTCTAGTTGTTCCCAAAATTATAAATGCTTTTCATCAGATGCTAAAGTTTAAGCTGCGTCATAGAGGATTAAATAAAACAAAAACATAAAATTTCTGCTACAGAAAGATTTTATGAACAGAAGGCGAAAATGGACTGAACTTTTGGAGGGATAAAAATCACTCTAAATCATGATTATGTTGAAAAATTAATGTGGATGATTAAAATACACAACCCGAAAATCTCAACACCATCCATGCATTTCCAGAAAACACATTTATTAAAAGCACGAGTGTTTTTGGCATATTTCATAAGCCTGTATCAGGTTTTACACTCTAGTTTCAATTTGATAACAGATGCGGGCTTATGAAATATGCCAAAAAACATGTGTTGTTAATAAATGGTTTGCTGGAAAAACAATTGTTAGTGTTGAGATTTTCAAGTTAATCATAGTTCCAAGCTTTGTTCATTGCTTTTAAAATACGCAATTCATACTATTTTTTAAAACTGGTCACATCAATCAACTCTTGTATAAAGGTTTTTCCAGAAAATGAAATTCTGAATGAATAAAATTCTGTAATTGATATTTTAATTAGAGTAACAAATAACATACAATAAAATATTACAGTTTAAATCATTGAAAGAGAAATCTTGATCTTAAATATAATTTATCAAATTATAATCAGCTGATTGAGATCATCTCGATAAATATTTCTTACATTAAACTTACTTCAACAAATGAGACAAAATTATAATATACAAATAATTTGTGAAAAATATAAAATTTAATGTACATATTTAATATGAGTATCTAAATAAAGAACTCAAGATCCAGCTTTTGTTTTCCGTAAAAGTTAACCACATCTTTTACCAATTATAGTAATAATATAGAACAACATATACAAATAATCCAATACACTCTACTAATCAAACAAACAAACAACAAAATTCTTATCAGACTATATTAAGGCTAATTAATTAAAGGAAGTTTCTCTTGTAGCAGCAGTTCTGAGAAGTGGCACAGTACGTTTGCATAGCAACAAAATTCCGTAATATATTATGCAATAACTGTCTACCTCTATCCAAATATCATATTAATTAATCAGCCTTAATGTACATAATAAGAATCCATCTGTTCATTTGATTTAAAACATTATAATTCTATATAAAATTCTTACAAATGACACTAGTTTTTTCAAAAATTTTTATTAATTATGAACTGAAATAAACCAGTTTACTCAAATATAATCAAATCTTTTGTTTGATTAGCTGTACCATATATTTTTTTGTATACAATACCCAAGAAAAAGTATACAAAAACTAAAAATGTAGTAAAAATGCAGTTCTTCACCATAACAATTTATATTTTCCATCCAATCCATTCTGAAATAGTGTCAAAACCTTATTCTAAGTAGAATGCTGACTTGTAATAAACACACTATTTTATATAATTAAGATAAGTTCAGTTAAAATATCTGTACTTTAAATGATTGCTAAAAAATAATAATCTGAATGAAATGAAATATGATAAATTTCAAGATGTTTCAGATGCTTTAGATCAAGGTGTCCAACCTTTTTGTTTCTCTGGGCCACATTGGAAGTAAATCCTTAAATATACTTGTATATTTAAGGATTTACATGTCTAGATTATAGTAATAAGTATTAAAACTATCATAAAAATGGATATTTTAAAAAATTACTTCAACAGACACTTTTGATTTCTACTTAGAAATAGATAAATTTATTTGTTATAAAGGAGACAAACAAATATTTGTTTTATTTGAGTCTTTAATTAATAAAAAAACAACGAAACACCATTTTAAAGTGCAAATTTAATCAACTAATATATTTTTAAATAATATGTAGCCCAAAATGTAGCCAATGCACCAAATGATATTTTTTACTCCTAACTAAAAAAGGGGTAGACAAATTTTGTGCGTAGTAGCCAAATCTTGCAATGCTGAAAGGAATATTAAATAAAGCTAGAGTTGAGATTCAAAGGATTATAGACCCAAATTTGGGGAAAGTAGAGAAAGGTCAAAAAATAAAGAAGTGAGAAAGGTTAAATAGACCACCTGTTATGCAAATATTGATCCTTAATTTTCCAACCTTTCTCACTTCTTTTTATCTTTTGGCCTTTCTCTCCTTTCCCCAAATTTGGGGCTATAATCCTTTGAGTCATGACTCCAGCTTTATTTAGTATTCCTTCCTCATTCACACATTTCAAGTATTTGAAAATACAATATTTCCTTTCTATTAAAAAATAAAATATGTATAAAGGTTTACGGCTTTGTGAAACTTCTTTTTTGAGGTTTATGCCATTGAAATAAATAAATAAATAAATAATTGTCGGTTTTGCTTACACGTTTATTGGGCTGCATTGGAACTTGCCTTGGGCCGTGGGTTTGACATCCCTGCTTTAGATTATTCATATCACTCATAGGTGTAACAATCTTAGCACAGTCCCATTGATTTACAAGTTAGATTTGTTAGTAAATGCCAATAGAATGTTGTTGCTTAGATCCTTATTCACCACCCATTTATGTTCCTTGACTCTACTAGGGAGGCTCCACATAGTTGGAAGTCAATTGGAAATATGATAAACATGTAAATGACAAAAACCAGATAACAGTTAAAAGAAATTAATCTGTTATTTCACAAATTCTTGTTTTACATATTTTGTGTAATGACAATTACAAAAGAACAGTAGGTTATTATAATCAAAACTACAAACAAAATGTCTTTGAACAAAATAAAACATATTCAGATTTAGAATCTCTTGGTTTAGCATCAACTGCAAGATTCTATTAAAATAATTTTCAAATTGAAAAAATAAACTTTCATATTATAAACTCCCACAAAACTGTTTTATTTAAAATCACTGTGATGCAGAAATATTATAATGAGAATACAGTAGAGCATCATTTATCCGAATCAATTGGGGACTGGGGTGGTTCGGATAACGAATCATGTACGAAAAAATATATTAATTTATCCCATGTTGAAATTTCTCTCCGTTGCGTGTCGCTTTGCGTTGAATTTTCATCGATGTTAAGCCTAACGAAGACTATTGTATCGTTAAAAATTATTTTTTTATTTTGTACAAACAAAATAAATTTATTGAAAAATATAAAAATAATAAAAAATTATACTTCAGATGTTAATTTAGTATCAAAAACGTAAAATATTTGAGTAGCCCAAGACATAGCCAAAGATTACAGCGCCACAGCACTAGCGAAAATTTAAATTTGCTGACTGAAATGCTTTCGGATAACGGACGTTTCGGATAACCGGCTTTCGGATAAACGACGCTCTACTGTATTGCTATCAGAAAAACATTTAAACATTTACAAAGGCTTTTTGAAAATTTATAGCAAAATTGATGAAGAAATTGCCTTATGGCACCAGAAAGAAATAAAAAGTTATTCAAGAAATTTATGAATTAATTTAAATCATTATAATCATGTTACACATCCCTCCCACTACTTAAGTTTTAGAATGGTTTGTTAGTCTTTTGAACTATGGCAAGCCAAGTAAAAAATGTCTAGACGACAAATCTCCTATAAAGCTGCATCTAAGTATAGTTATCCACTATGGTAAAGAAAATGTATACTGATATTTCAATGTCATACTATGCATCTGGCAAATTTCATGTTTATGAATAATGATGTAAAATCTCACTGTTAAAACATTAATTGTAAAGTAATTTTGACTGTAATTTTGTGTTGCTAACTGATAATGAAGTCATTAATGAATGCATTTCAAAATGTGGTCATTGTGAAGCACTTTAAACACAAAAATAAATCACATCAAACGAGCAATTATTTATTGTGACACTGTCACAATGTTGATCTGCAATTTTTAATCATATTTTTAATTTATTTAAATTAAATGCTCACCATCTCAAATTAGTAGTGTCTTGCTTCTGTACATCATACTTTTTCTGTTATCAATAGAATCATACCAGTTATCTATATAACTCCTTTCAAAGAAAAATTTTTGAATAGAAATAATGTGATTTCTGGCTTCCATTGAAAATTCATATATAGTCAATTGGGGCCTCCTATCGTTAATTTTCATATCTGGCCTCATCTTTCATCTATCTAACGCAATTCTCGAGATTAAGGAGGAGCAGACAGACAGTGAGAATTTATAGGTCTACAATTTTTTCAAGTTGCAGCCCAAAAATGCATTTATTACTGTTTAAATACATTAACTACTTGTGGTTGCATTTTTAACATAGTTTGTGCATAGTAACATAGTTTAAAAGTTAGCTTGCAGTACGTCTGCAAGCTAACTTTTTCGGGTTTTAACATCTCAAAAATTGGTAGCACATTAAATTCAATAGCACATTAAAATCAAGAAAACATGGTATGTGTG